TGGTAGGAAGTACAGCAAGAGTTCCTATTATCTGGAACCATGGTGGCATAGTGGCACCTCATCCTCAAATGATATGACCTGTTGTAGAAGCGAAACATAAGGATTTGTGGAAACTATTAATAGCTCTTAATAAGATCAAAAATTGGGAAGGAATAAAAAAACATCTAGAAGGACACTCTACAAACTTGTCAACGAATGTTGCAAAATTAAAAGAACAAATATTTAAAGCATCCCAGGCACATCTGACCTTAATGTCAGAAACTGGAGTGCTTGAAGGAGTCACAGACAAGTTAGCAGCTAGTAACCCATTAAAATGGATAAAAACACTTGGGAACTCTGTGATTTCAATAACGATTATGTTTTTAATCTGTGTTGTTGGTCTTTGTATAGCCTGCAAATGCGGATCCTGACTCCTGCGAGAAGTAGCTTACCATGAGGAAGCGGCCTTTGTTTTTATCACTTTGCAAAACAAAAAAGGGGAACATGTTGGGAATAGTCCCCCAAATCTGGCCATAAACTGGCCCCAAAACTGGCCATAAACAAAATCTCTGCAGCACTGTGACATGTTCATGATGGCCATGACGCCCAAGCTGAAGGTTGTGGGTTTACCAGAACGAGGGCAAGGAACACCTGGCCCACCCAGGGCAGAAAACCACTTAAGGTGTTCTTAAACCACAAACAATAGCATGAGGGATCTGTGCCTTAGGGACATGTTCCTGCTGCAGATAACCAGCCAGACCCATCCCTTTGTTTCAGCCCATCATTTTATTTCCCATAAGGAATACTTTTAGTAAATCTTATGACTGGCTTGCTGTCAATAAATATGTGAGTAAATCTCTGTTAGAAGTTCTCAGCTCTGAAGGCTGTGAGACCTCTGATTTCCCACTCCACGCTCTACATTTCTGTGTATGTGTCTAATTCTTCTAGCACTGCTGGGTTAGGGTCTCCACCACCAAGCTGGTCTTGGCAATCGGGAGTTTGAGACCAGCCTGACCAACATGGAGAAACCCCATCTCTACTAAAAAAAAAAATACAAAAATTAGCCAGGTGTCGTGGCACATGCCTGTAATCCCAGCTACTTGTGAGGCTGAGGCAGGAGAATTGCTTGAACCCGGGAGGCGGAGGTTGTGGTGAGCCAAGGTTGGGCCATTGCACTCCAGCCTGGGCAACAAGAGTGAAACTCTGTCTCATTAAAAAAAAAGAAAAAGAAAAAAGCTCTTAAGAGCACATAAACATAGGAACTTTGTGAAGTCTGAGGACAAAACAAAAACAACATCACTAACAGACCATAAAATTAGAAATCAGTCACAAAATGCCAGTCAAAATATCCAAGAATTTATGGTTGAGGATTGAATGAAATTCACAAAATATTTAAACCTGAATTTTATATATGCACATACCAAAACTTGCAAAATGTAGCTGATGTGGTCTTTTGAAGGAGAAGAGGAAAAAAGTAATTAATTCAAAAAATTATACTAAAGAGTAAACTCAAAGAAAGTAGAGGAAAAGAATGAATTAAAGATCTGTGTTTATAAATAAAAATAAAAGTAACAGAACAAAAAGATGGGCATTAGAAAATAGTCATTTCTGCCCTCTGGTCAGATAAAGGGAAAAAAGCAAAAAATTAGCTACATTAGGAATACAAATGGGGACAACACTACAGATAACATAGTTTTAGAAGACTAAAATGTATTATATGTATACAAGGGAATAGTATAATGTTTAAAAAGAATTAGATAAACATGTACCAAACAAGCCTCAAAAAATACAACTGGCAGAGATATTCCTAGAAGGAATCCTTTAGTCAATATGCACAGAGCATTTAAGCATTTCTTTTTGTTTTTTTGATTTTGTTTTTGTTTTTTTGAGACAGAGTCTTGCTCTGTTGCCCAGACCAGAGTGCAGTGGCACAATCTTGGCTCACTGCAACCTCCACCTCCCGGGTTCAAGCGATTCTCCTGCCTCAGCCTCCCAAGTAACTAGGATTACAGGTGCACACCACCACACCTGGCTAATTTTTGTGTTTTTAGTAGAGATGGAGTTTCTCCATGCTGGCCAGGCTGGTCTGCAGCTCCTGACTTCAAGTGATCCACCTGCCTAAGCTTCCCAAAGTCCTGGGATTACAGGAGTAAGCCACTGCACCCAGCCTTCATTGTATCTCTTTTTGTCACTAGAGGTACATTTTGTTCTAATAACTAAGCCCCCAAAGCATCCTTTTAAACTTTATGGTTTTGTAAAACAATTAAAAATAACATTTTCCACCAATGACAGATAAAATTTTAAAGTGTGGTCATATTATTCCATTCTTATTTTAAGGATATACATATATATAATTTGTATGTGGATATGATTTTTTGAATGGCGAACAGAGATTTAGTGGTCAGGTAGCTGGATGCGGTGGCTCACGCCTGTAATCCCAGCACTTTGGGAGGCCCAGGTGGGTGGATCACGCGAGGTCAGGAGTTCAAGGCCAACCTGGCCAATATGGTGAAACCCAGTCTCTACTAAAAATACAAAAAATTAGCCGGGCGTGGTGGTGGACGCCTGTAATCTCAGCTACTCAGGAGGTTGAGGCAGGAGAATCACTTGAACCCAGGAGGCAGAGGTTGCAGTGAGCCGAGATCGCGCCATTGCACTCCAGCCTGGGCATAGAGCAAGACTCTGTCTCAAAAAAAAAGAAAGAAAGAAAAGAAACTTAGTGCTCAGATGGCAGCAATAGGTGGGGAGGCAGAAGATAATTTATTTTTCATTTCATATCCTTCAATTATCAGAAATTTTGTCATATGTGATTATATTTTACGCTGTGTTTCATTGATTCTAAAATGCCTTTTCTTCATAACCCTGAAATTGGAGTGTTTTTTACAATCATTGGTATGTCACATTTTTCTCTGGCTTGTGGTAACGGGATAAAATGATGAATTGTAAAAATCAACGACGTCTCAGGAGTAATGAAAAATAGTTTAAGAGTGAACGAAGAAGTATGTAATTTTAACGGTTCACATTTACTCTTGGGTATGTTTCCAGAGGATAATTGAATGGGGATAGATTTTAAATAGCGTTATGTAATTGGATACTTCCGTAATTTAGTGACCAGCTTCTGTGTACAACAAGGTACTGTGCTTTGAGGCTGACGGGAGAATACAGGGAAGAACGAAATAGTCTCTGATCGTACTTTCTCCACGGATGTAAGTGTCCGGGCTTTAGTCGGGGAATGATACACTTCATGAGAAATTCATTTTTTAAAAAGGCCAGCGGCTGTCAGCTGCAGCTCATCAACCACAGAATTCTGAATACACCGGCACATCAGCGCGCTGGCTTAAGAGGAGAAGGGGCTGCGGCTGAGCTTTCCTAGAAACAGCTATTTGGGGACCCATTTCCTGTTGGAGTCTGAAAGACGCACCCACCGGAGCCACTGGCAAAGCAACTTAAGCTGCAGGCTCCTCCTGCCCACCCCCCAGCCGCGACGTGCCCTGGGGGCCCTTAGCGGACTGCCACGCGAGTGTCCCCGCCTTGTGCCTTTAATTTAGCCAAACTCCTGTAATATCAGGCCCGGCGTGGTGGTTCACGCCTGTAATTCCAACACTTTAGGAGGCCCAGGCAGGAGGATCGTTGAGGCCAGAAGTGAAATTAGCCGGACATGGTGGCGCGCGCCTTTCTAACTGTCCCAGCTAATCCAGAGGCTGGGACGAAAGGGTCGCCTGAGCCCGGGAGATCGAGGCTGCAGTGAGCCGTGTTGGCGCCACTGCACGCCAGCCTGGGCGACAGAGCAAGACCCTGCCTCAAAACAAAACAAACTGTAATATCGTCCAAGAACGTGTGAAGGACACTTGGAAAGTTACCAGGCCACTTCTCTCCTGGGCGTCCACGGCCGGAGAACGCCGGCCTCACCTGCAGACGCGCGCCCTCCTCCCAGGCTGCGCAGGTGACCTTGGCGGGAGGCGCGGAAGAGGAAAGAGCCCCGCTAGGCCGCGAGCGGAGGAAGCGGGAGAAGCCGCTCTTCCTATTCCACTCGCAGTCCGCTGGTGGGGGAAACGAATGTCCGGCGTATGAAACGCCTAACTTCGCGAAATAGAGACGCATAAAACTTCAAGAATTCTGTCCAAACTCAAGGCCCTTTCTCATTTAAGGGCCACCCTGTCACTACATCATAAACTTTTAAATCCGTGATCCCCACGTTACGAAAGCATAAGTCCCTTGCAGACTTTTAGCGAAAACTGAACTTTGCCGGTGTCCCACACGAAGGGAGGGAGGACGGGAGGCCACGCCAGGACTGCGGGGGCTGCAGGGCTGCAGGGCTGCAGGGCGTGGACGCATCCTGGCCGGGGCGTCCACTGTCGACGTCTCCACATCCCAGGAGGGTCGAGACGGCCGCGGGAAGCA